TTTTTTTTTTTTGGGGGGGGGGTAAGCTGTGGGTTTGTACATCTGTTTGTTTTGACAGAGTAGGTTGACAGCACGTGGGTGGGGGAGGATTGATATGTAGAATGACAGGAGGTCAGAGGGTCAAACTGTGGGATATCGAGTGAACGCGAATGTCTCATAATCTGGCCGGAAGCCTCCAGGAATTTTAGTGGTCGGCATGAGGAAAGTTAGTGGAAGCTAGAAAGGGGGTAATGGGACTATGCATGTTTCTCTCCCATGCTGATGATTTTATTATTTACTTATGAAAGCTATCATGGTCACAACTACCACCCAAACTGCAGCCATTTGTCGTTGTTGTACACTATGTTGATTTTTCTCTGAACAGCTACCACGGTACCGACTACCCCTCAAAAAACAACCAGTGAAACAACGGTGGAGACAACAACCGTGACAACGCCTGAACCAACCACAACGGCGCAGACGACAACCATGGAAACTACGACTGAGGCAGAGGTTGAAACCACCATGGAGCTCACGACAGATAGTGCAACAACCGCCGGTGTGACGACTGGTCATTATAAAACTACAACCGAAGTCACAAAGGCCATCACAGACAGTACTCTACAACCTACCAAAGTCGTGAATACTCTAAAGCCGGGATCTCTTGGTGAGTTCTAGACAGATAGACACGCACACCCAGACACGGAAAGGAACACATACACACAGGCACACAAACGTTTAACACATCTCTACTTTATTTCAACACACCTCAAGAACAGAATTACCGATACCATTCGACTCTCATTTGTTCCAGAGGCTGAAAGCGCCCCTGTCTGCACCAATGACTACATGGAGCTAGCCCTACCGGCCCACCGGCTCACTCACGTGGTCACCAGCGGGCTGCATTGGGACCCGGACCCGAGCTGCAAGGCCACCTTCAACGGTACCCACTACATCCTGCGCACCGGGCTCTATCATTGCGGCACTAAGGTACCTAGCAAATCAGCCCCCGCTTCGCTGCGACAAAAATCATTCCCGCGAGCTAAGATTCGTGTGGGCTATGGCAGCACCCGAGCCTACCTGAGCTTGGCCCGGCACCCACTCGCCGCTCAGAGCCTGCAGAGAGCGCTCAGCTACCGCCCGAGTGCAGTAGCGGTACGTCCGCGGGCGATGTCCTTGGTGCTGAAAATGGGGGTCTGTCTGTCGTGCGGGCTGTTGTGATGTCAGAGCGCGCTGTAGACTGATCTAAAAGCCCCGCCCACCTTTGTCAGAAATAAAAATGCAAATATTTTGGCAGCCATTCTGTGAAGTGAAAGGCGGTACAAATTGCGTATGTGCATTATATGAATCATGCTTTGTCAACAGTTTTAACATGTGAATGTTTTGTACTAGCAACAATTTGACCACATTTAACTGCGTTCTTTATTTTCCCATTTAGGTGACGTTTGACTCGAAGTACGTCATCTTTTACAACAATGTCAGCCTCCTTTTCACCCATGATGGCGTCATCACAAGAGACCCGGATGTTGTCATCCACTCGGTGTAAGTGGTTTGCGTTTTTAGTCATGTTTTGTTCAAAAGAAATGAGATAAAATACACATTGATTTTACTCGATTTAAGTCCAGCGTAGACGATCAACGTTATTTCATAATGTATCTGTTACGACCGGCAGTTATATTATAAACTCAAAGAACAGGCAGAAGCCAGGGGCAGTCCCAAATGAAAACTTTTTTGGGCACTAAACACTGTGTTCCTAAAGCCCATGAACCACGCTACACCAAGGACAATACATTTAATCTCTAAGCAGGGTCGAAATCGCGACGATTTCTAGCTATACGTTTCTGTTACAATCTGTCTTCCACGTCGCGATTTTCTCATCTGCTAGCTTGGAGATTGATTGTAATCCATTGTCCTTGGGACTAGTGGAAGAGCTAAGCTAACAACGGCTAGCTTAAAGCACATTAAGTATAACGGTTCTTCTATCTGTCCGCAGCTGTAAGTACGACCGTGAAGAAGCCGTGATGTCCGAGTTCCTGCCCATCCCGGGCGGACTGGAGTTCGTGGATGAAGGGTTCGGTCAGCTGTCCATCCGGCTGGACATGTTCCCCACACAGAGCTACCTGGCTCCGTACACCACACCTGAGTACCCGGTACACAAGCACCTGCGGGACATGATGTACCTGCAGCTGCAGGTGCAGGGCCACGCGCTACAGCTGTCAGTCATCGCCCTACATTGCGAGGCTACGTCCGGGTACAACTCCTCCCTACGGTACCCACTGATACAGGACGGGTGAGTGCTAACTTTTCCATTGTATTTTTTTTTTCTCTTTGGAAAACAAAACAAATCTTGACTAGGTTTTGATAAAAGGTTTCGTCACACCATCTATGGTAGACTGCTACCAAGTTGAACAAAGCATGTTAGCTATTGGAAAAAGTTTGTAAATGCCTACCTACCTACATTCCAGCTGTGCCTCGGACGACACCCTACAGTTCTACGCAGGACCAGACCCCAGTACACAGCGGTTCGGTCTGGAGGCCTTCCGCTTCGTGCAGGAAGTGACGACAGTCCACATCCGGTGTGAGGTAGAGGTGTGCGATGCAGCTGACACAGGATCCCGCTGTGAACAGGTATCTTCAACTGAGTTATAAACTTTGTTCCTAAAATATGGCACATAATACTTACCAAGGTTGCTGCTGATTTCTAAGCAATGTTCTGAGACCTCGGTGCAGAGGGCCGAAACGCCTCTGTCGAATTCTGACAAATACCTTATAACGTTTCTCAGGGTTGCAGGACCAATCGTCATCACAAGAGGGCACTTGAGGATGCGGATGACGTAAAGAACCGTTATGTGATCTCTCAGGGCCCTATCATCCTCAGCGCAGATTCCCAGCAGGGTGAGTGGAGAATTTGTATGTATTTCTAAGCCTTCATATTTTTACAAGTCCTTTGCGGTGAGTGTGTCTGTCCTTGGTACTGAAGTGGAACCAAACCACGTGCACAGTTGATAGACTCCGCCTTGTATAGGGTGCTGATCTATGCTATATTGCCTTCAATTCGCAGGGTACAGCGCAAAGACCGCCGTCATTGCTGTGGGAGGATCTGCTGCGGTCATCGCTCTCGCTGCAGTTCTGCTGGTAGTCAAAGTGAGGCGCTCAAAGCGGGTACATCCGGGATACGAGCCACTCAGTACCCTTGATGCCGAGTGAAATAAGCAAAGATGCTTCTAATGCGGTACTTTGATGTAACGATAGACCAATCATGAATTCTGTATCTTAGCCTACTATGATACAGTGTCATCTTTGGAACACTTGTGACGCTGATTTCAGCAATATTTCCCCTTAGCACAAACAGTTGCTACAAATTCCATATATCCATAAATCTTATTCTTGCAACTATACGTGAGTGTGCAAATGTTTTGAGTTATTAATGCAGTTATTGTTGTTGAGAATTCAGCAACCTACCCATGTTATTAGACTTTGTGTGCAAATAAACTGAAATGACAATCACAGTGAGCGTCTTGTCTGTCCTAATACACTATGTCTGTACATGTATTCATAAATTAACTTATAATATAATGGCTGATGATATAGAGATAAATTATGACAATAACATTTTAAAGACAAACTGTTCAATCATAACGCTGAGATATGCTGTATGAGTCATTTGTTCTAATTACGAATAAGATTAGAAAAGGATGCATTGAGCTAAATTCTCCACTTACGACGTTTTAAAAGAATTTTAACCCAATAAGTTCTTGGGTTTGTTATTATCATATAACTCTTCTCTGTTTATTTTATACTATTGCAACGCTTTAAAGCTACGACACATTCTAGTACTGCACTAAGGGTACTACACTCAAGCGTTTGCCTTCATGAACGGTACCACTAAACAATAAATCCAGACGTATGGATATGGCAAACGTATATATCCGAAACGGGGGAAGTCTACTGTTTATCTATGATTAAGAACCGACCAGGACACGAACAAGTTGACCTGCCACTCCACATCCTTCACAAACATCCGCCACGATGATTTAATTTCATCTTACAAATTCGGAATTCTCCACTAAACAATAAATCAAGACATATGGCAAAAGTATGTATCAAGGACGGGAAAGTATACCGTTTATCTATGATTAAGAACCGACCAGGACACGAACAAGTTGACCTGCCACTCCACATCCTTCACAAACACCCCCCTGCCTTCCCCGGACGTGGTGCATGTGAACACCTCTGTCTCCCGGTAACACAGCTACCAAACCCACATACAGGAATCATCAGCTGTTTGAGCTCCTGTGATTTTATGTACTCGAGATAAGAAAGGCTATTTCAGTGGCTGTTGAAATGACGTGTTTAAAGAGACAAGGGTCACCATCCTAGTATTGGTTAAATCCAAAATCATGTGTCTATACTCAGTCTTGTTCTAATCATATATTCACCTTAAACCATTACCTTGAATATTAGCAGATACACGCAAGTAGGAAGGGGGAATAAGACAGTATCTGTTGCATTTATATTACTGCAGTAACGTTCACATACTAGGCGTTTGTGTTGGCGTGCCTTTTTGTTCACGGGCACCATGGTTATCGACATTTAAGGACCCAAGTAGACATCTGAACTCAATTTTTGGTTTAATCGAGATAGTACGTAATGCATTGTTTCCTGTTGCCTTTATTGAATCAAGTGAATTCATTGCAGGCGTTTTCTTATCTCAGGGATGATAACAATTAGATAAAGCATAGATCCCTTTAATTCGCAGACAAACAATGGCTTAGACGGCACACACATCAAACGACATGGATGTCTTTTTTCTTCTTTCGACTTCATTAGTACTCCCTACATAAGTATACCCACCCACAGTGTTTTGTAACAGACGTCACAAAGCTACCCAATCACGATAGACTGTTTCAGTGTACCAACCACATTTTCGTGAGCCACGATACAAGTAATCCATCATTACCTTATCAGTGAAATACCACGCATGTCACGCAGTTTAAGTATCACTTCAGTCAAGCTTTCTAAACCCTCCACTAGGCAATTAACCTTGAACCTCACCTCGGATTAAACGACAAAACCTCCGTAAGAGTTGCTCAGATAAACACAATTTGGTTATCTGAAAATAGGACAAGTTTGAGTGAATTGAACAGATTGAGCAAAAAAAACCCATTCATGATTGATCTTTGGTATGTTGTATTGGGTCTCCGTGGTATCTGGTATTCGAACACTACTGGTCTATGTATAGTTTTGGTTAAAAGGACTATATCCAGTTTCATTCCGTAACATTTTTCACCGATATGTGCCGATTTTGTATTATTGTAAACAAATCGATTGCCCACAGCACTCCATTCGCAAATAGTGTGGCAACAGACGCACATAGAGTTGAGAAAATTGCCGTTCAGTTCAAAACGAAGTTTCAAGGCCGTTACCGTGCTGCCAGACAAAATGTTGACATTTTCTTCAATGCCGTGTTAAAAAAAGACTGGCGTCTTAAAAAATCTATATATTTTGATCACGAACTTTTGAGCAACGTGTTAACATTTCCAACACTGTTGGGTCAAAAAAAGACTGTCGTTTTACAAAATTATATATTTTCATCACGAACTACTGGACAAGGTCTTAACATTAACCTACAATGTTGTGTTAAAAATGACTACCGTCTTACAGAATTGTATATTTTCACCACGAACCTTATCTCAATAACATATACTGTTTTAGCGTGTCTGACACGGTATAAGACTGTATGTTCTGAATACCACAACCGCCTATCAACAGACTTTGTTGTGAAGAGGACAATTCGCAGTAACTATAACATCACCATCTGTCGGAATCAGCTGCTCTTACACTAAGTCCGTGTTTGGGAATTTGTGTACAAAATTCGTATCTTAGCCTCCATTAGGACAAACGGCGAGGAGAAAAACAAGTCGTCTGCCATGGCAACGGTGCTGACGTCATCAAGGTGAGGCCTGACTGCGGGACACCACAGGTGCGATTTTTTCCCGCGAACGACAGGCTTGGATTTTTCTCCTGGAAAATTCGTACTTTATGTGGACAAACTTAGACCAGTAGTTTCTTCTGGATACACTTTTCGTTGGGAAAAGTCCATGGAATATGGAATTTTGAGACAAGATGGACGGATGACCGGTACAAAGATGCAGATGTACAGATTTCTGCTGACGCTCGCGGCTGTAGCTACAGGTGACGTGGCGTTTCATTCTCTTCAACTTGGCATAGCTTTTTTTCTTCCCTTTATGACTGAACTTGAAATTATGATTTGGCTGAACTTGCGATGTAATCATGAGATTAGGATACTGCCTAGGGTTACATGTATAGAAGCTGGAAATTCATTAAAACATGTTTCTAATTAGTTGTTGATTTTGCAATCTTACCCTGAAAACAACATTTTTCAATGACATCCTAAGCATATATCCTGTCGTAAGTAAGAAAATTCTTATATTTTTCAATCACCAAAATCAATGATTTCATCTATTTTGCATATCTAATCGTAGAAAGTATTCGACGGTTCTTAACTGTTTAAGCTGCGTATCTTCTACCCCATGCCTTGCTGTCCCTTGCGTTGTTGGGATGCCAGGTATCGGCGTCGTGTAAAGAAGATAACGCTGTAATCATTTAACAATCAAACCTTGTGTACTTTGATCTAGCTAGGCGACCCGTCTCTCTCTGTGTAACTCTACCACACATGATACAGTTTGCTCTGTTTGAAATCAAATGACATAACACTGAATATACTGATAAATGTTAACAAGTGTATTTAACCTATCAACATGAATACATGTAAGAGATTAATTACTTTAAAGGATCGAGTAGAGAAAAAGTGTATGTTAGCAAGAGCTTTGTAGGATACATTTTGTCAAAGCCATCGTCTGACATAAAAACAGTTAGATAAGGGACATAGTAAGTAATGAATGAATTGTGTTTTAGGTTGTTACTGATTCACTATATTGACTCTCAAAGTCTGAGGAAAACACATAGAAACGTTATCATAAGTAGAGGAATATTCATAACAAACAAAATACTCCGGGCGTCATTATAAGTGTGGATGTTGGTCATCAGGTATAACGTATGATGAAATGTACATAGTGATAAGGTATATTGATCAGCGTAGATTGCGGTGTGGATTACTATGGTGTGACTGAGAGGGATCAACGTGGTTTATATACAAGGTCATTAGTGTGCATTAAGGTCGAGTACAGGCAGAGTACGGTGAGATACGGACATGGTAACTATGGACACCAGACGGCGGAAGTTCCATAAGACCACAGCATATTTTCTGTAATTTAGAGCTGAGGATTAATCATTTTCTGGGTATTGTTTCTACTTACATATTATAAGGTATTGACAACTCTAATCTGACACCGGTTGCTATGACATTTTAAAACTCTGTAATGGATGGATACAGTTTTTAAAATAATACTGTTGTGTTGTCGACTCCTACTAAATCTTCCGAAAAGGCACAATAACGAATTGCCATTATGTTTGTCATACATTGTAAAATCCTAACCGATCCCCTGTGCTTATGTACGTACGATTCAAATTGTAGCTTTCGATCTAAGTATGCTGCAGGGGTGTCATATTACTATAATCATTCACTCCATTTAGCTCATACCTCGTACAACATATGTGTTTGAAGTAAATGCAAACGAATCGCATTAAAACACCCAATCATATCTCCTGCAGCTGCCCGGGCACAGTCGTGTGATTTTGACCTGGGATGGTGCGACTGGACTGACAATAATGGGCAGATGGAGTGGGAACGGTTTGACGTGGCTGGTTCAAACTATCTCCTTCATGCAAGTAACCCTATGTTTCCTGGCAGTGGTCCAGCAGATGATCACACACAGCCAGGTAAATATAATTTTGCTTCCCTCTCGACAATCACGTCATTTCTTGGATGATAAAATGTCAAGATATATGACGTTAGTTAGTTACTACGCTTTTTGGAGGGAACGTGTTTTGTGATTGGTCATTAATTTTCAAATATTGTGTATGTGTACATTTATATTGTATTTCATATTGTACGACTTGAAGCGGAATACGCTGGCTGGTATGTGATGTCTAGTTGTGGAGGCGCAGTGCAACCTGGTAATGTAGCCACTATCACCAGTCCTGACATCATCGGCCCCTGTACGCTGGAGTTCTGGTACACCATGTTCGGGGTGGATCTGGATATGTCAGTCTACCTGCTACAGAGGGGGCAGAAAACACAGATCTGGCACATGGCGGATGTGAACGAAGACTTCTGGCAGCAAGCTAGTATTACACTGTCTCCACCCATGGAAGGGGCATACCAGGTAACAATCATCGTTCAAAAATCAGATGTAGGTGAAAAAATATGTGTGTACAATCAGCATGTAAGTGATGATAACCGATAGGAACCCACTCGATTTAGAAAACGTCAAGTACTGCTTTCTGTATATTCTGTATATTTACTTTTTTTGTCCACTCCACGTAGGTTGTTTTTGAGTCCGTGAAGGGAACCAACTTCTTGTGCAATGTGGCCTTTGATGACGTCAAACTAGCTCCAGGTATGAAACCAGTTGTGTATTTCAGCATAACTTGGGCTGTGTGGAAATGATTTTGATAAGGTTATGATCTTATAAGGTTTTGATTTTATAAGATTATGATCAACATGACATTGCACACACTGCAGCGTAGACCTTTCCCATTATTTCTCCACGAATCAGCTCCACTACTGAAGTGCGACTTTGAGAGCACAGGTCCCTGCGCCTTGAGACAGGATGTCAGCGATGTGTTCGACTGGAGATGGCAACAGGGCATGACAGACACTCGAGAAGATGTCCTAAACAGGAACTTAACCGCCATAGCACCAGATCTCCTCACAGGACCGGAGTACGACGTCACAATCGGGCCGGATGGAAATGGTACGTGTGGGTAAACGGATAGATGGTGTCAAAAATCTTTGAGTTTGTTTTCTCTGTGCACGTGTGTTCATACTTCATTTTTTTGCCAGGCTATGTTAAATTCCTTCTATCGAAGAGAAGGTAAATATGCTCTTGAAATATCTTATTTTGCCTACACCCAAGTATGTCAAGTGTACCTCAATTTCGATGGGAAAATTGCATCGATGATATTCATGACACGATGGCTTTTGGTGTCATAATATGGGTTGTAAACGGCATTCTTATCCAATCACAATGCTTCAGTTTTGCTCTGAAAATGGCAACGCTATTGCCGTTTCTCCTGCAGGTACGTACATGTACGTGGAGTCGTCAGTCCAGTCAGCTGGTCACCACGCTCGTCTGTCGTCTACAGAACTCAGCGGACAGTGTCTGGAGTTCTACTTTCACATGACGGGACGTCATTCTGGTGAGTTAGACGACTACACATGGCCGCATATGCATCTTAAATGTCTTGATAATCGGTGTTCACTCTCCCTGTGCTATGCAAGCTCCATTTTGCCAGCATCAGCAAGAAACAGCATTCGTTCACACAGACGAAACGTCACTTAGTAACAGCATACTAAATGATGATGTCCCAAGTTTACAAGTATAGAAACAATCGACACTTCATAATAAATTGATGGTGAATATATCGGTCTGTTTGCAGGTACGTTGAAGGTATACCAGCAGTCTGTGTACGAGAACGACACAACAGAACAGCTGATCTGGGAAGTGTCCGGTAGTCATGGTGACGTGTGGCACAGAGCAGCAGTCAGCCTCAACATCACCAACAACTTCTATGTACGTACATGGACGTTGAATCTGATTTCTTGTTCCATGTGCTCCTAAATGTCGAGGACGTGCCCTCGTGCAATACTTCCTACTATAAACCACTAAAGAATTGACTTTTCCTTACTCTTCCCAACACAGATACGCTTTGAGGCTGAGGTGGGCGGTTACTACAGTAACATAGCCATAGACGAGGTCAGAACTTTGGACCAACCATGCACGTGTAAGTACTATCGTTACCTATAGATGTGAAAGATATCAAATGTTGCCTTGTGCTGTTTCAGTGCATATATGCATATAAGAAGGGTTAACATTTGTAAAAGCTGTGTGAAGCTTACGCTTGCCGCTCCGCTTGTGCTTGCTCTATAGTGGCAGGCGGCTGGGGTGCTTGGGAAGACTGGACGGAGTGTGACGCGGAGTGTGACGGCGGGACCCAGTCCAGGGCGGCGTACTGTGAGAACCCCTACCCTGTCTTCGGACACTTTTGTGAGGGGGACGACGACGGCGACATGAAGAGGGTAGAAGTCAGGACGTGTAACACACAGCCGTGTCCCAGTAAGTTTGCTGCTTCATGCTTTTGTCTTGGTCGACATACAAGGAGCTCACTAGTGAAGAACGCGCTGTTTGGCGCTTTGCTAACTCGATTAGGTTCATCATAGTGACGAAGATGAGTAAATTGTCCAGTAGTACTACAATGTGGTTTGTATTGTGGCTGCAGGTGACGATTCAGTGGTTTTCACCAATAGAAATGGAAAGATAGAGTGACACATACTTCCCATTTTGACAAACAACATATCACATCATTGACTTACATGTAGTCATCACGTCACCTGTGGCATAAGACAATGCAAATCACCACAATGGCACGGTAAAGTGCCTGTATTTTTGTCATGCCGTTGATTATGTTGACTGTTTTTCTGAATAGCTACCGCGGTACCGACTACCCCTCCAAAAACAACCAGTGAAACAACGGTGGAGACAACAACCGTGACAACGCCCGAACCAACCACAACGGCGCAGACGACAACCATGGAAACTACAACCATGACAACCACCATAGAAACGACCTTGGAGACCACGACAGAAACGACCATCGTCACCACGCCTGAGCCAACCACAACTGAGGAACCAACAACGACTCCTATGGCAACGACTACAGAAGAGCCAACCACGACTGAGCCGGAAGTGACGACAGAGGCTGAGCTAACCACGGTGGAAGAGACGACCACTGACGTCATCACCACGACAGAGGAAGTGACGACACCGGAAGTGACGACAGAACAACCAACTACAACCACCACCACAACGACTGCAACGACAACAACCACGGGGGCCATCACGACAGACCAACCAACCACCCTACCGACAACCACCACCAAAACCACCACAACAAAAACAACAACCACTCCCAAACCTACAACTGTTTCTACAACTACTACAAAACCAGCCACAACTACAACCACCACGACTCCACCTCCAAAGCCTGACGCCACCCCCGGAAAGCCCGTTACACAGAAGCCGGCGCCGCCACAGAAGACCGACAAGCCCGGGGAATTCGCTAATCTTCAGGGAGGCGAAGCCGCGAAGTCCAGTAACACCGGGATGGTGGTGGGAGTGGTGTGCGGGCTGCTCGCCCTGCTCCTCCTCCTGCTCGCCATCATCCTCTTCATCAGGAAGAAGAAGCAGAAGAGCGCGGGCAGAGTCTCCCCCTCTCCGGAAGAGTCGGAACTGCAGCCGCCCCCACCAAGGCGCCATCAGTGGGAAGCACCCGACTCTGAGGCGTGATCAACAGCAAAGAACTAACACAGAACAATAAATACCTAATGTTATATGATAAATACAAGCAGGAACAAATCATTTTGGTCTTTATAGAAAAGCCATTTAACATTATTGTAGAAAACAACTCTTTATAGTAGTAAATCCATTTAACACTTTTGTAGAAAACATTACTGGCTGCTGTTTGAGCTAGTAGTAAGAGTTTATTAGGGCTATCAAATCCCAATTCATTTGTGCTAACATTGACTCATTGTAAACACCTATTCAAATGACCACACTCTCTATAAATGGAATGGAAAATTCTCAATTCATTATCATCTTTTAAAATCTTTCAATGTTGTAACGATGTAAGGAAAATGATGGCTGCATCTAAAATTTTAGATGGCTGCAATATGAGCTACTGCCTGGCATTATAAGAGTTGTATTGTCTTCGTAAACTTAAGTTGAATATAGAGCCATTTATTTAGCATTGTTGGTCATGTTCTAAGATTCTGACAGAAAATTAAGAATTCATTGTTCTTTTGGTATTAAAAATGTGTCTAATGTGTCTTAATACAAGCAAAAGATACCTTTCAAATAGGGATTATGTAAAATTCCATACATACTTTGTAATGAGCTGTAAGATAAATTATTGCTAAGATATGTTGACGTTTAGTGACGAAGTTGCGCCCAGGATGGGTGTAATAAATGTGTGCACATATTCGCACAACATGGGTAGTCCTTTCTCTCTCTCTCTCTCTTTCTCTGCGTTTGTGTGTGTACATGTGTGTGTGTGTGTGTGTGCGCGTGTGTGCGCGTGTGTGTGTGAGTGTGTGTGTGTGTGTGTGTGTGTGTGTGTGTGTGTGTGTGTGTGTGTGTGTGTGTGTGTGTGTGTGTGACTGTGTGTGACTGTGTGTGTGTGAGATGACGGCCGTAGAACAGTATGCACAGGGGGTTGAAGCATGCCATCTATAATTGCCTTGTTGAAAATACATTTCAAACAATCTGTGCTGAGTTTAAGAATAAACAAAGTTCTAGTGGCTGTAATTATTTTGAACATCGCAGTATGTCGCCTTTGACCAGTGCAGGGAGTCACTGACCCTACTGCAAGTAGCAAAATCTACATGGCAAGGGACAAAATGCTAGAAGACATTGGATCGTCAACTTACGTGATTACGAAAGCTAGAAGGACAGTTTTAAATACCATTCACAATAAAAGAGATGCACGCATGCGAAACTGAACTGATCATAAAAACGTTATGGAATACAACATACAGATGCAAGGGCTATGCCCTGTAAGCTTATGAACTGTACGTCAAACTATAGAATTATTAAAAGAGTTAAAACAAAGCCAGTAAACTTATTGCAACTTTAACAAACTTGGGTTTGCTTGCAATTAAGACCAAAATACCGCAAAAGCATATTCAGTAGCAAATCGTAGCTTTTTTTTATTACAATTTTATGATTTATTTTCCAAACTAGTCAACTTCAACTCCAAAGAAGTCACAATGGAACAGTTTGGAAGGGAGCCAAAAGATCTTAAAAGTTCCAGGCTGCTGGACGTCAACTTGGCACTTCTCTCCTACAGCCGTCTAGAAAGGATCAATCATCGCCGAGCCGACTATTAGGCCAGGAGGTATTCTCTGTTTTGGGTTTGAGTCATTGAACTATCAATCACTCACTACTGGTACAAAAAGCCATGTTGTTCCGGGTCAAAGGTTGACCACAGTCACGTGATATCAAGTTTCCGCGGCCACGGCATCATTCGATCCAACCAATACAGTATTTCCACTCGAGCCTGGGAATTCTTCCCCGCTAAATTGCCGGAGTGACTCACGGAGGGCATCAATGGTGATATGGAAATCCTGGCCGTTTGGGAGGATTAAAAAGCACGGTCACAGCCGGCAGGAAGCGGAAATAAACATCTGCGAATCCTCAGAACTTTAACCATTTATGGGCATGAGTTGAACCGGAAGTATTGTTGTGTTCTGAATGCTTTTGATACATCTAGTAAAATCCAATCTTTGAATATCACACTCTCTGTTTCTTTGAACATGAGATAGATACGAGTGTCATCTTTCTTCGTAAGTATAATCTGTGTCATTAAATATTCGTATACGTCCCCCCTTCCAGTATCATATCGAAGAGACAGGTGTATAGGCCATAGTAAGTGGTCACAGTATAGGGACAATATGGAAAGAAAGACCTCAAACCTTTGAAATACAAACCCTTGAATCGGCTTGTCTGAAGTATATGTAACAACATGAATGTTTGTTTTGGATGAGAAAGAGGAGCAAATGTAGCTAACACATGTGTTACTAGTACCTTACGTTCGAGCGTTGCCATGTAAGTGTTTCATAATACCCCCCTCCCCCAAAGTGTCGAAGAGTTGCCTTTCATCATTTGATGTACAACAAAATGTAGAAAACATTAACAATGATCATAAAGCCAGCCGTCTTGTCATGCTGTGTGGCAGTGGGAGTCGGTTATTGACCCCTACATTATACACGTCACTACGCACGACTGAAACGCTGGAAACTAAAAATCTCTGCATGCCTCTCTGATGAACTAATTCTAAAACCCTTCTCTCGTCTCTCTTTCCAAGGCGCGTGCCCCCATTGTCAGGCTATGTAAACGAATACACGGCTGACTAAATGAAATACAGGTCTCGTACATACCCGCCACACAAACAACTTGTAAAGGTAATTGTTACCTGTTGTTGTAAGGTGTTTAAGACACCGCCCTAGGTGTAACGAAGACGACCTCACCTGGGGAAGCATACCTGAGTTGCACATACCTAGTCGGTATTCTGTCAGTGCCATTGATAAAGCATATACCGACACATTACGTTGATTGTTTCTTTCTTTCTTCAAAGATGCGACATTTTTGTTCTATTTTCTGCAACATCTATTCTGTATCTCCTTCATACATGCAGTCAAGTCTTACTGAACTATTATTGAACTGTAGTACCAACCAGTACATGTTAAACACCTTTTCATTGAGGCAGCGACCGTTGAGCGAACATCGAGGGACCAAAATGCTCTTCTTACACGAATCTGTATCTGTATAGCCGTTATCTTACTGATAAAGAAGTGTATCTTGTAAGCTTTGTTGTCTTATAACAATGAGTTGTAGGTTATTCATTCTCCTGGGTTGGTCTCTGACAGAATGCACACGGAGGAAACATGACAGAGAAGGATGGAGGAGGCTGATGCTGGATGCAACCGTACTCCACGACTCTCCAGACGGAGGTGGAAGATGAAGGATCCAGTCAAACAAGGAATGAAAATCGCCCGACCTCAGCTAGCCCGTACAACCGGGATAAACCATAAAAACACCAGGGTTAGACTCGGGGTAAGTGGGCTTTAGTGTTTGAACACTCGATCGAGCCAAGAAGGTTACATTCGATACGCGTTCCAAGAAACCACGGGAAGGCTGCTGCACTTAGTCATCCGATTTCACTGTAGTACATTAGACATTAGATATCTATCTGTAGTTGCTGTCAGGCCATTTTGGAGCTTAACTACAGTCTATAGCAAATGCTAGTTTGGCTTAAGAGGATAAATGACTCACATATATTTCATCTGTTGACGATAGATACCAATCAGTACTATAAGATATAAAGTTAGCCAGCAGAATGTATAGGTAGGTAGGCTATATTTTCCTCAGGCCTCATAGCCACAAGTTAGCAATATGTGATCTTTATTGACGAACCAACAATCTAAGAAACAATCTAACAATCTAACGAACCAACCAACCAACCAACCAACCAACCAACCAACCAACCAACCAACCAACCGACCAACCAACCAACCATCAATCCATACATACATATAACCAACACCTCTCGTCCAAACGAAATATTTTCTTTTTAAAACCCAGATAATCGTTTCTTTCATCTCTTTTACCGGTATACCCTTCATTGCATTGGAACTCAAAACCTTTCCTCTTCACATAATCCTATTGTAACTCCGGCCTCAAAAACTCTGTCATGGCCTTAAAATAACGCAAGCTTGAAATTCACCTATGTCCCACTGTCTGAGTACTTCAGTTTGAAGATAAAACGAAGGCTGGAAGCCAGGAAATCTGTGCCAGTGGATCCCGAAGTGTCAGTTGTCTTTTAAAACCACATGAATCACGCTGTAACGACAGGGAGATAATCACATTTTCCCGCTCCGGTTTTTACAGACAGCGGATCATTTTTAGATCTTAGGCCATGTTGATTTGATTATATGGATGACATCCGCGCGCGCATGAATTTTCGGCCGTTTCCAAAAAAAAAAAAGTTTTCAACCATGCTGTAAATCGTACAAAACAGTTGCAAAATGAGCAAATATATACTGTAAGTTGCACAAAAATATTGGAAAACAATAACAATGTCGTAGAATGCCAAAACCAAACGAAAAAAGACGAAATTGTAAAGAAATGAACTTGAAGACTAGATTATTCGCCAAACCATATTCTGTGCCATTTGCTCAACCCTCATGACCACGTAGATTTCATAATGAAAACAACTTTTTTTTGGCCAAACTTTTTTTTATTCGCACGCTCGCATCAGTTTCGGGGTTCCCAGGAGATGTCATCCATATAATCAAATCAACATGGCCTTACCCCACGATTCGCGGGGTTGCGTAACGGTTCTGAGTCATCCTCGGCAATTACCAAGTTCAAAATCAAATCTGCGAAGAGACATAATCAATAGAGGGTAGAGGGCGTTGGGTTTATTGGATTAATTCATTTGCTAGGTTTTCAAGGGTTTGCTTTCAGGCCAAAACGGATATTTCGCACTTCATTAGGTTGGAAGGAGGCCATTTGTACGTGGTGTGCTTATATTAACGATGTCGGGGGCTGGGGAAATTTTCACTAGAGTTGAGAAAGAGGGAGATATTATCGTCTTACGAAAAATGGTGACTAACCTACTAGAAACGCAAGAAAATGTATGCCAGACTGGTATTTTGTTTTTTACAAAACGCGTACGTTAAGAATTCCTTGAAAAGTTGAATGAATGTCGGCCGCAAATACGACGTTTTCGTCAACAAGCTCCCGTCCTGATTAGCTCTATTGAAAAATGGCTATTCAATAGTTATTCGGCTTATTTAGTGGTCTTTCATGTGTTTTACGCCTATATGTCTCTTAGTGGAGGTGGGCGTTTTCTTTCTCTGTTCATCGTAAAACAAGTTCGACAGATACATTAATCCAAAACTGCAAAAACGTTGTATGAAAGAGGCAATGAACTGCCCATCACACTCTTTGATCCGACAAACAGCTAACCCTAATAAGAATCAAATCTACGAAATGAGTTCTTTCATCGATACACTTAGCCAAAATAGAATGACCCAAGATAAATGTAGCCCATCATTCGCAAAGAATGGCGCGAATGACAAGAACGTGCTAGTCTTAACGTAATTGTTTTTGGTAGATGGTATCTGGTGTCTAATCTGTGCAGCAAGACGAATGACGTACAAAAGTGGCCGTGCTTATGAACCGTTCAGTGGGTTACACTGGGGTTAGGCTTAGCCCCCTGCCGTCTGCCTGTCGCTGCTTAGAAAAACATAGCAGATAATTTTGCAGCGGAGGATTAACAGAATCAGTCAGCCGGCCACAACATTTTGATTCGGCGATAGGGTTTCACAACACCGTGACACATCGGGGAAGGAATGAACCGGAACTTTCTCTTACGGTTACCGTCATGGAATCTCCTTAAGATCTGGGAAGATTCTG